ATATATATAGAGAGAGAGAGAGAGATATAGAGTGGTTTGCCAACTTGTGTCTGAGTACAGCCATTACTACATATCTTTTTTGGAGAATATCTACTGATGTGCCGAACGAATGTAGCTCTTCAGCCCAGCAAGGGATCGACATACTCTGGCGCAAAGAGGGCACTTAAGAGGTGCAACAGTGGGTGTTACATTATTATGCAATTTAAAATGTCACATGAAACCGCTTCTGGATCCGCATGTCTTACTACAAATATCACATTTCAATTGCTGGATGTCTACAGATTTTATATATATATATATATATATATATATATATATATATATACACACACACAAACACAGGACTCTCCCATTGTTTTTGACATATGAGTGTCTGGCAGCATCTTGGTTCTAAGAACCAAACAGCCAGACTACTTGCACATGATTTTATTATAGTAGCAAAGACTTGTGCAGAACAAACCAGACTTATTGGAAGGGCTGAATACAGAGAACTGGTGCACATAATATGCCACAAGGTCCCCAAAGGAACTCTCCTCAGGTTTTGAATTCAGAATTGTCATCCTAGACTGGTTGCCATCCAAGGCTATATGACAATCTCTCCTGCTGTTTACCTATAGCTGAGAGAAGAAGAGGTGCCTTTCCCAAGTGTATTTGCATGTAAGTGAAGGTAATGGGCTAGACTAGAATCTGAACTTGAAATCTCTCAGATTCCTCAATCCAAGCCACTACTCATTACATCAACATGCCTCCATATAAGTAGTACCTATCTACCTAATAAAGATGAAATGCATTTATGTATATGTTGATGCGACTACACATGCATAGGAAAGGCAGGGAAACTCTGAAAATTTTAAATTTTTTTTTTTTTTTTAAATTTAATATATTTTAGCTTTATAATCTAGCCGATTTCATTATTTTAGATTCTTTTACTTTGCTTTTTAGTTTCCATCACTTTTGCTATTAAATATCCCACATTAAGATAACAGATTTGCTAAGAATGATGAAACGTTTTAAGAACCTGGACACAAATTTACTGTGGATGATCTGGTGATTAAAGCACTTTCTAAATATTTTTGTCTTAGTGAATTTTCTCTTTTAATTAGAATAGCATTTTTCAAATCAAAATTATATCCAGACTCATTATGGTGAGCAACTGATGTATTTAATGTGTTGTTTTGTAAAAAGATCCCTTTTATGTTCATATAATCATTTTTGTAAATTCTCCAATGTGACAATTATTGCAAGTAATAGAATAAATTCTCCAATGTGACAATTATTGCAAGTAATAGAATAAATTCTCCAATGTGACAATTATTGCAAGTAATAGAATAAATTCTCCAATGTGACAATTATTGCAAGTAATAGAATAAATTTCTCCTTCAAGTTGTACCTTATTACTTATTATTTTTTTTTGTATTAATTAGTTAAAGAAGACAAACAAAAAGAAAAAGAACCTAAATGAAATCAGTTAGATTATATTCCCAAAACGCGTTTAAAAAAAATAATTTAAATTCTCAGTGTTCACTGCCATTCTTTTCAAACATGTGTAGTCACATCAACATAAATTTAGTCTAATGAAGTCCTAAATGATGAAATGCATCACACAAAACCTTTTTACACTTTCAAGATATATATATATATATATATATATATATATATATATATATATATATATATATATATATATATATATATATATATATATTCAAACAGATTTAGTTAAACATATGATGTTGATTAGTTTTTAGTTGTGATTCTTTCAAGTTTGCAAGTTAATTTCTTGGTAGCCTTAGAAAATTCATTAAGTAAAATACCAAAATTTTCTTTCATAGTTTTTATTTTCCAAGCACTTTCAATCTTATCTGAGACCATTTTCAGAGGATTAAGTTGTTTGTGAGTATGTATATGTGTTTCTGTAAATTCAAAGCATTTCAACTGTTCATTTTTACTGCTTATGCAGCGATGCTACTTAAATATACAATATATATACAAGATATATAATATTATTAAAATATTTTTATTATAATAGATGACAATAAAAACATTTTTACATTGCTACATGAAAAAGTATTTGTGTAGCGATGTAAGAATGTCTTTATTATAATTTATTATAATAAAAATATTTTAATAATAACATATTTTGCTCTATGTTTGTATTGAGCACTTTTTAAAAAGCAAAATGCTAAGAACTGTGGATTCTAACTGTCTGTTCTTCCTCAATATATATATATATATATATATATGTGAAAATTTCTGAGTTAACCTGTAGAAAAGACAATATTTATAAATATAAATGACAATAGGAAAACTGTAATAGTTGCCGACGTGTTTCATCCAATGTGGACTTTCTCAAGGCAAAAAACGAAATGAATTTAATTAAAGAGCATAACTAATAATAACAAAAAACAGAATGTTCTTAGCAACTGGAGGAATGTAGAGAATGCTATTTTCATATTGTTAACTGAAAATAACGCCAGTTATTGTCATGTGTGGAGAATATTGTCATAGCTGTGTTGACAGATTCAACCATTTTCTTTTGATTTTACGATATTGTTGTGTACATTTGTTTGGGAGAGCAGTAATTTTGTTAAAGGTGAAATCGGGGAAAAAGCCTGGGCGTAGATTAATATTTGGCTAATATTCTATGGCTGCACTCTGTTTTTTGTTATTATTAGTTGCGTTCTTTAATTAAATTCATTTCATTTTTTGCTTTGAGAAAGTCCACATTGGACAAAACACGTGAGCAATAAGTACAGTTTTCCTATTGCCATTTATATTTATAAAGATATATATATATATATATACACATATGTGCAGGTATGTAGAAAAATAGGAAAGAACACGTTAGGTAAATAATCCGGAGTTCTTTAGTATTTTTGTTTTTATTTTTAAAAACCAATGCTCCATACAGAAGTAGAGCTTAAATTATAATTATTATTTTAAAAATGATTCCTTCGCTACATAAGAGTTCACATGTTTCACAAACGAGAACCAAAACCCTCAATATAATTATTAAAATTAAATTGAATTAAAGTAACAAGCCCTGTTTCATCCTCAAGCGAAAACTTAGGAATAACCAATCTTGAAATATACGCATCATTATAAGCACATTCATTCATTACTATGGAAATGGCTGGGGCAACCATTTTTGATAAGTGGCCTAAGAGTTAATTTTTATCCATATATCAGTCACCTTCAGGAAGGGGTCAAGCTGAGGTAGGGTAGGGTGTCTATTTCAAAGCAAATGATTGCATTCATATATGCGTATTGTCTGGTCAGTCACAGAGAAAGATAGATTTTGGCACCATGGTATGTTGTTAAGTGTCTGGATAATTTTTGTTTTATTTTATTTTATTTATTTATTTATTTATTTTCAATGAGCTGTTTCATATATAAACACATCGCACTGAACTACAATTTGTTTTTCTGACTACTTCATAAAGGGTTTTTCTATTTAATGATTGGGTTAAGCTTTTAACTATGAAATTTGATTTTTTTTTTTAAGCTAATTATTTAATGTGAAAATTTGTTGATGTCGGCAAAAAACCGTTAACTCATGTCTATGGTTTAATAAATTTCCATTATTTAGAAACTTAATAATACGTAGTTTTTCATGTAAGCATAAAGGCCATGGGTCATCCCAGGTTTTACAAGTTCTTGTTCTATTTATTATTTTCCATTTTACTTTTGGTGTTTTATTCATTTCTTTTAAATGCCAAAAATATTTGGATAGAGATGTCTGATTTATACTTCTAATATTGTTGAAGGAGCTTTTATGCTGCCTCTACCTAATTTTAAATTCATTCTTCGTTGACCCAATGTATATTCTATCAGTGTTAAGACTCTCAATGGATGAGATAGTGCATTAGTATACCACAGATTTTGTGTGGCATTTATTTTCTAACGAGCAGTCTTCAGGGTTTCTACAATCACATAATTTTTCATTATTTTTGTCTGATTTTAGTTTAGGATTTTTATTAATACTGTTTTGGCGTGTGTGTGTTTCCAGGATTTTATTATTGTGTTTTTTTATGATTCTTTCTAGATTTTCAGTGCAACTAACTTAATTTTAAGGTGTTTTTATTAAAGATCTTGCTAAGTCTGCTTTTAGTAGGGAAATGTTTTTCAATTAAAGCTAGGAACTTGTGTCCTAGCTTAGTACTAACCATTTGGTTGAATGGAGGGGTATAACAGATGATTTTTCTTTTCCCGTTTTCTTTCTGTTAGTGCTATTGTTTCTATAACTTATGTTAGCGTTTTTGTATCCGCTATTTTTTAGGGCTGTGTTATAAAAATTACTATGTTGTCAGAATATTTCCTTATCAGCATGAACTCCGAATGAATTTTAATAATTATATTGAGGGTTTCGGCTCTCGTTTTTGAAACATGAGAACTCTTATGTAGCAAAGGAATCATATATATATATATATATATATATATATATATATATATATATATAATTACAAAACTTCCTTTTCTCAGCACTTTATGAATTTACCTTCAAAATTTCAGCTAAAAATGAAAATCAAAAAATTAAGAGTGAAAATTATGTTGCCATTAATTAAAGCTTTAGCCTTAATTAATGGCAACATAATATATGTACTCCCTGAGGTTAAAAAAAACAAACAAAAAAAAAAAAAAAAAAAAAATTATCGTCTTCTAAATTATCAATACAATGTGGTATCATAAGCTTCACTATTGATGGTAATCATCTTAGTTTTTATAGCTATTTAATAGTGCACAATTACACATCAAAAATGTTCGCAAGAGGAATTTTATTTATTACAACTCTTTTTTGTGGCCAATCAGTCAACAGAGAAGATGATGTCATTGTCTGAACCAATGTAGAAAGCAAAGAGCCGAATAGTGTCTGCTTTATAATTGTCCGATATTGGAGTGCGTCTCAATGCACGAGGGAAGCAAAGCCATAGCAAACATTTCCTATTTTGCAACAAATAAGTAAAAAAAAAAAAAAAAAAATAAAAACTGATTTAGCCTACCAGACTGCTGTTGCTGTGAGAATATCTCTGTGGTTCTTGAAAGGAATCATGCAGGCTTCTCCAAGCAGTAGGTTGGCAATGATACTTCCCGCAAAACAGATCAACATGCATGACAGCCAGCAAGAGAGCGGGTGTTTACGAGAAAATGCATTGGAACCTGAAACAGACAGCATCAAATAAATGATAAAAATCTATCAAGTATAAATGAAAATGCAATGGATACCCATTTGCTTTTTTTTTTTTCTCCTTCCTCTTCTAGTTTTATCTTTTGCCAAAAACTCGTTTTTTCAAACAAATTGAAAACCAAGAGAAGCATCAGCTAAAGTAAAACATGTTAAAATCTAATGTTTGTTTCTCATTAAGGCCTTAGAAAAGGCATGAATTCAATCTCTCTACCATTGTTTCTTATGAATTAGGATTTAAAGATATTAAACTAAAAGCAGGTCTCCATCTCAAAAATAATTTGAGGGATTTGTGACTCTTTGTGCAAAAGAAATTCAGTGTGTGAGAGGGCAAATGAAAAGACATCAGATGTATGAATTCAATAAAAATTCCCTTTTGTTGGAGTTTTAAATTATAAATTGCCATTCATATTACTAGTTTATTCCATTGTGTGCAAGAAATATAAATAAATTTATTATGAATTCTAAAAGTATTTAAGTGAAGAAAAACCAGTTTTCAGTTAAAAAAAAAACAAAAAAAAACCTTTGCTGATGGTATATCATCAGGCTCATAACTTTTTAGCAATGTTGTTCAATGTTATAATTTCAGTCAAAATTTACCTCCACAAATTGCAACCGTAATTGTTTTTTTTTTTTTGTTTTAGTCAAAGACAAAAGAAAAAAATTTTATTAGATATTTTACAAAAATTCAAGGATCTTAAAATTATGATAAACAGCAACAACAAATGTTAAAAAAGCCTTTTCTTTGCATCAGAAAATCATTTTTCCAAACACACAATCCCAATGATGAAGAGACATGCCTAGTAGTAGTTCAGGAGGTTTTCACCCAAAAGGGATCACTCAAATAATTTCAAATAGGCACATATGTAATAAAAGATTTTATGATGAAGAAACACCCTTTTTTTTAGTTCAATGAACACTTTTCTTGTTTGAATTTTTATTTCTTCAATATCCATAAAAATTAACTTTTTTTTTTTTAACCAAACAATTATAGAAAATAAGGTTTAAAGTCAATTAAAATGGATAGAGTCAAATGAGAAAAAAGAATTTTCAACTTCAAATTACCCAAACCTTAAAAAAGTCTTTTTTAAAATTTTAATTTCATTTATTGGATGACCAAAAGGTGAACAATAAATTTGACACAGAAAAATCAATGGTTCTAATTTTTAAATTCAAACAAATAAAACAAAATTTTCTCTTTGAAATAAAAACATTTGCTTATTTTGAATCAATTTAAGCTTCAGCAAGAAAAATAATTTTGCATTAAAAAAATGCAGATAATTGAAAACAAAAACAAACATTTTGTAAAGTTTCCTTTTTTTTCATATTTTCATTCAGTTGTGCTCAAGTAAAAAATTAATATTTGACAAATAAAACCGAGGGAACTTTCTTAAGTGTACTTAATACTCCAATGTTGGATATTTATGGATCCCAAGTGTGACTCACCGTAGCACACAAAGTGATTTCGGAAATTAGATTTTGGAGGTAGGTGGTGAACTACAATAAAGAAAAAAAACTTTTTTTTTTGGGTTTTAGTTTTTCATGTGCTAGACAGAAATTTGAGATTTTTATACTTTTCTCAAATTTTAAAGTTTTCATTTCTCTCAACTTTTAAGAAATGTGCAAGAAAAGCAATTTTGTCCAATTACTCTACAACAGTCACTTGATAAAAATTAAAAACAATTTGCAATGAATATTATTTTCATTTAATAGCCAAAGATTAGAAAATGTGACTAAACACAAACAACTTTAACAAAGAAAAAGATAAAAAGAAAAAAAAACATTACAAAAGATTTTTAGTTTAAAATTATAGATACATGCCAGTTATTATATAAATACATATAATTATAATATATATATTTTAGATTTAATACATTGTCTTATATATGCCAATATTATGTAAATATATATATATATATATATATATATATATATATATATATATATATATATATATATATATATAAAATATGATATACATTATGAAAATGGACAATGTCCAACAATTATTTTAAGTCATTTTTATGTTTATACATTCTTTTTATAAATACAAATATTTAAGTAAATGTTGTTAATACTGTTTATTATAAACAGGCATTTACTTAAATATTTGTATCTATAAAAAGTGTATAAACATATAAAATGTCTTAAAATAATATGATATATATAATTATATAGATACATATAATAATTATTATATTTTATAGATACATTCCAATTATCATGGGTGGGGTGTCTTCAGAGTGTAAATATTGAATAAATGATATAAATTAATGAATAGCTCAACCAAATCAACAACAAAATCCTCAACACATGCCAGTGGAACTGATGGCAAACATAAAACAAGAGGAATAGCAAAAGACAATGTTATCATCTAAAGTTAAATGTTTAGGATTGACTTCTATATGTGTTAGAATTTCATTAGTTTGAAATCTGTTTATATTTGGAAAGGTTATTATTCTTAATTTCACACAAAAATATTTACTAGTAATTGGTGGAAACAAAATATGCATCAGTAAATAAAAACTATACAAGGATTTCAACAGATAAAACTTACTAATGTATGGTAGACCAACACACAATGTTCTTTTCGTTTTGTTTTTTTTTTACTCATCCAAATTGAAGATATTAATAAAAGTTAACTTTTTACAATTTGTATCAGTGTAGCTGTAGAATGATGGAAAATAAAACTTTTAGAATATTTTCACATTTAATATCATATTTGCCATTGTCTTAATTTCATTAATATTATTGGGAAATAAATGTACTTTGCCTGGAGCTGCTGTTGTCATGTGACAGCAAGGCCAGAGTAACCAAATGGGTGGTAATTTAAAGAATGTTAGCAATTGACAATGTCAAACAAACAAATGCTAAAGTTCCATTAACATCAAAGCCAAGAGCAGACCTATATAGAAATAATATCAATTAAAAATTTCTTGGTAAACTATTCAAGGTCAACCTGAATATAATACCAGTTTATACAATTTTTAGTACTCTAAAAACATTCATATAATCTCTAGAGGTGAATAAACACAGATGACGAGGTTTATCCAGAAATGATCCAGTCATTTAAAATTAATAAAAAAATTAGCCCACCTACAAAGGCAGGCTGAAATGTTTGTAGGCTGACTATGAAGGTGGGATGATAGAGCTCTGAACTTTTGCACAGATTAATTTCAACTTTTCTTATTTATAACTGAATTGTTTCTTTCCAGGTAAACTGACATCTGACTGTTCAAAGACTTCAAAAGTAACTAATAGTGACTTCTTTTGAAAATGGTTACTCCAGCTTTACCAACAGTGCAAAAGTGGGCAGCTGAATTTAGGAGAGGAAGGGAGAGTGTTGAAGATGACTCAAGGTCTGGTAATCCTGCAACTGTTACCAATGAGAATAACATAGATCATGTTCACCACATGGTGATGGATGGCAGGTGACTGACTATAAATCAAATAGCCAATGCTATTAGTATATCCTGTGAGAGTTGAGTTGAGAATATTCTGCATAATGAACTTGGCATGATCAAGGTTTCTGTTCAGTGGGTGCCACATTTTCTGACACCTGATCAAAAGTGCAACAGGCTGATCACCTCATGAGAAAATCTGACATTGTTTGAGGCAGATCCAGCTGGTTTCTTTGACCATTTCCTCACCCAGGATGAATGTTGGGTTCATCACTTTCAACCAGAGACAATCCATGCAGTGGAAACGCCACTCCACACCTTTTCCAAAGAAGGCCAAGGTTATTTCATCTGCAGTAAAAATGATGGCCTCAGTTTTTTGGGGATGCAAAAGGTATTGTGTTTATTGACTACCTTTATAAAGTCCACACCATCTATTGAGAGTACTATACCAACTTACTGAGGCAGTTATGAAAGTCTATCAAGACCAAATGCTCAGGAAAACTGATGAAAGGGGTTTTGTTTAATCAAGACAATGCTCCAGCACACAAGGCCTTGGTTTCAATGACTGCTGTGCATAACTATGGCTTTGAACTGGTTGATCATCCTCCCTATTCTCTAGACTTGGCTTCCACTAACATCTGTTCCCCAATATAAAAAAACACTTGGCTAGGAACCAGTATCTGGACTGCAAGGGGAACTATGTTGAAAAATAAACGTCATTTATTCACATTCCATGAAGGTATCTTAGTCATACTATGAAGTTTTTAGCCAAGGTTACCGGAGTCTCCTTTGAAATACTCTCTTGGAACTTTGTACACATATCCATTTTACAAAACATTCTGCAAAGACCTCTTTCAAGATCACCATCAGCTACCTCCTCACATTCTCCTTAATCTTGTCAATGGTCTGAAATGTCCCTTTCAATGGTAATTTTAGCTTTGGGAAAAGCCAGAAATCACAGAAAACCAAATCTGGAGCAACAAGCATGATGAGGGTTGTAACACAAGTTGTGGATAATGGGCAGATGAAATATTCAAAATGGCTCATGGCTGAGATCACTACTGATTAGAAATAAGCCCAGGAAATATTCGTTTAATTCTGTGACTCAGAATCCAAACAGTCAGTTATGTGCCATGCGTGATACACACTTAGGCAATCATGTATCTTTTATACATGACTGACGAGGCAGATTTTTTCTCTCAGTAGGTTGCCATTTCTTTTTGCAGTAGACCAGTTGCCATCCAAGGCTATAGAACCCGTTCTGTACTGCTATTTACCCATAGCTGGGGGGGGGGAGAGAGAAGAGCATTCATACCTTTCCCAATGATATTAACACGTAAGTGAATGTAATGGATCTGACTGGAATTTGAACTCGGCTCTCCAAACACAAATCCAAATGCTGACATTTTGAACTAAGCTGTGCTGCCACTTTTACAAACTGGCCACTGAGATAACAGATTATCTTGT